AGTTCAAAGGAGACAGCTCTTTGAACCTTGAGGCACGGTAACTTCCACATTTTCCCTAATCAGAGAAAATCATTGAGCAGCCTGGGTGGATGGCAACGATCCAGTTGGAAGGAAGGCCCATGGTAATACCTTCCACAGAAGAATGGGTGGGGTGGGGCAGCAAGGTGATGACCACAATCCTTCCCTCAACTGTAGCAGTGGAAAGAAAATGTAAGCAATTCCTGCAGTCAATCACTTACCCTCCTCCTATGGCTGTGGCTCAAATCTTTTCATCAGCCCTCTTTTAACTTGACACCTTTCTGAGACGTCTCTGTCTCTCAGCCAGAAAATGTCTCATCACCTTTGAATACAAAGGTAGCAGTTTAGAAACCAAAGAAATAATCCTAAAATACTGCATTCAAAGGAGCTTTCCCCTCATAATACTGTTTTTCCTGCTGAATCCCATGAACGTTAGCTGAGACAGGTGGTACTAATCCGCCTTCTAAGAGGAAAAGGAAGAATGTTAGCTATTCTCCATATACTGGGGGTAAGGGGGAGCCGTATTTTGGATTAAGATGTGTTACATCAGGAACTTCTAGCAAAGTGGAGCCATTTTTATTCATAGCTAACCAGAGAAGCAACATTTGTGCTTTTCTCACAGATGTTAAGTTCATACTTCCTGGAGGTTGTGGTCAAGATTACTGGCCCAATCATGTGTGTGAATCTGTTACAAATATGCATAGAATGTGTGCCTCCAGGACCCGGAAGTAACAAGATTGTGTCCCCAAGTCAAGTGAATTCAATATTCATCATTCCAGCACAGCATCCATTTCTTTCTTTCTTTCCTTCCTTCCTTCCTTCCTTCCTTCCTTCCTTTCTTTTTTTTTTTTTTTTTTTGACAGAGTCTTGTTCTGTCACCAGGTTGGAGTGCAGTGGCACCATCTCGGCTCACTGCAACCTCCACCTCCTGGGTTCAAGTGATTCTCATCCCTCACCCTCCCGAGTAGCTGGGATTATAGGCACGCACCACCACACCAAGCTAATTTTTGTACTTTTAGTAGAGATGGGGTTTCACCATGTTGGCCGGTATGGTCTTGAGCTCCTGACCTGGTGATCTGCCTGCCTCAGCCTCCCAAAGTGCTGGGATTACAGGCGTGAGCCACCACACCTGGCCCACAGCACCCATTTCTAAAGGAAATATTAATTTCATCTTGATTTTAAATCTGGAAGAGCAGAGTTTGTTAATTATGATAAGCTTCATGCTGACAAAAGGGAGTCCCTCGACTCCCTTTTCTCCTTTTTCTCCACTCTGTTTATTAACAAGCCCACCTCCCTGAAGTTAGTTACTCACAAACTGTGTCACTGTAAAGATCTTAGACTCCTGGTCTACTCTTCCTGACCACTGTCTTTCTTACCTTTCTTACTTCCTCATACCTCCTTGAAAGCCACCCATAGTTATGGAAAGAGAATGGGCTTTGGAACCAAACCAATCTGACAGTTAATCCTAGCACCCACCACTTCCTGTTCTGTGACTTTGTGCAAGCTCCTGAACCTCTCTGAGCCTTCTTTTGTGGCCTATAAAATAAGAACTACAATTCTACTTTGCAGACATTTGAGACATTAAGCACACACACAGCAGTTCTCAACAAAGATAAGGGTCCTTGGCTGACAGGGACCTCCAAATACAAAGTGGAAGTTGGAATTTAAATTCATACAGCAAGCACCAGAAGATGTGATACACTCACGGTGCCAGGATTGCCATTCCAGAGGATGTCCCAGAAACAGAGACTAGGCCTGGGTGAGGCCTTGACAATGGAAATGCAACAGATGAAACTAAGCAAGGTCCATGAGCGGGGAGCACAGACCAAGGTCAAAGCCTAAATTGGCAGGCAGTAATTTCCAGGAAGGTCTGGAAACTAAGGGGCAGAAAATCGCCATGGGGACCAGAGTTTTACAATCATAATCTCTGGAGGAAACTGAGATATGGTAGGGAAGTCAAAGAAGTAGGGGATTGGGTTGAGAATTAGGCTAGAACTTCAGCAAGAACATCTGTCTCAGGGTGAATCCAAGCAATCAGACGAAGAATGTACATGAAGAACCATCTCCAAGGAGTTCACTTCTCCCCTGATCTCAACCTTTCAACTACAGGTTCCACAGTTCTGGGCCCCCTTGGGTTTACACCATCTTGTCTTGTATAGACTTGGATATTGAAGCTGAACTGTTCATCTATATCTGACTCCAAAGTCTCATTTAGATACTAGACTAGTATGTGCTCTCAGGCACCAAAAATACTATGTTGTGTGGTCACTCAAGTTCCCAGGGCACTACTGAGCACTTCCCCAGTCACCTGCCACTCCATATGGAGAAGAACCTCAGGCAAGAGTAGACGAGAATGGGAATTAATTACTGGAACTCCAGCAAACTACTTCACCAAGAACAAGAGGAGGCAAAAAGGCAGTACACAGAACACTGCTCCCATTCCTCCTTGAGAGGAGATAGAATTGCAGATTCAGGGGAGGGGTGACCCTACAGATGGGAGCTAAGTTTCTACTGTGGAGCCTGGCCGGGCATCACACCATCCGCTAGCCACCTGACACTCCACTGGTGATCTCTCCTACTCTTGTGGCTTTAGGTACTACCACTAAACAGATGACTTCCCACCTGTTCATCTCTCATCTCTAGCTTTTCTCCAGAGCTACAGGCTCACATTTTATAAGGCTGTCAGGCATGCACACCTAAATATCTCATGGACATCTCAAATCCATTATACCGTTCTCCACATTTATTACCAACAACGAATATTTCCTACATACCAAGTTCAAGATGATGCTTTGAGTTTCCAAGTTGGAGATTGAATAAGCTCACAGCCCGACCTCAGGGCCAGTGTCTAACTGTGTATTAACAGTGCTGGAAGGAGAATTCTTTGCCCCAGAGACACTTCTGCACCACATGCAATAAGGACCAACACTTTCACTCAAAGATTAGGTGAAGCAAGACTTCTGTGGTGTCCAGTCCCATACATCTGGACAATGTGCCCAAGGCATCCCCTGCACACAGACAGTGAATTAGACATGCCTGAATACAGCAGATGTAGCTGAGTTAGCTCTAGGACAATATTAAATGAGTTTCAAAAATTGACCATCATACCCACATTCTAGCTACTGAAAAGAAATGGGGGATTCTAAATTAACTGAGCTCAGTTGCAGATAAGGAAAGAATAGTGTTAGTAAAGATGGTAGCTTTTGAATCTACTATCTACATATCCCCCACAGGGTCCAGCACATGTTAAGTAATTAAATATTTACTGAATGAAAGAATGTATCTTTGATTTTAGATCTAGCCTTTACTTCTCTGGGGTATTTTGTTACTTGTGAGATCTCACTTTCTAGTTAGTTCCTTCCCAAACCTCCCCCCACTATTTAGAATTCTAGGGAGCACTTGATTTTCCAAGTGCATTTCACCCAGTGACCTAGCACTGTGAGCCAGTCAGTATAGTGTAAGCACTTACTTCAATCACGAGTTCTACAGGGCACCTCATTCCTCAGCACAGAAATTAGAATAACCCCAGGTGAATCAGGTCAAATCTGTCCTGGAGTTTGCCCACAGAGAATGGTAACAATAAGTACTTCCATTTATCCAGTCTTTGTGATGGGCCAGGCTCTGTGCTAAGCCCTTCACAGACTCTAATCTTCACTCAACAAGCAGGAACCCCATATAATCTCCCCTTTTTTATGGAGGGGCTAATCACACAATGAATTAGTGGTGGAGTGGGACTCTAAACACAGGTCCATCAGCTCCCCAACTGGAGCTCCTCCTACCATGCAACTCACTCCCATCCCAGGGGGATATTTGCAACTCTTTCAGCCCCCTTGGATGTACACCTTGGTGGAATCTTTGCCAGTTTTTCCCAAAGTTCTCAAAAATTTTATTTCCAGTTCAGGCTCAGCAGGAAATACGTTTTCCATTGCCATCCACAAACACTATAAGTAGAAATTGAATGTCTGCAGCACCAGAAAGGGTATTAAAAGGAGTCCTCCTTGTCCAGACAGAGGGACTCAATGGAAAAAAAAAAAAACCATAGTTTTAAACTTTTGAATTGCATTTTTAAACACTAAATGTACTCAACCAGAATAAGCACGTCAAAATAAAGAAGTCTCCATAGCACAGATGTGGAGACTCAAGATGTCATTTAAAATTAAGACGTTTCTGAATGAAATGACTCTTCTAGTAAGTTATGTCTGAACATGACCACTGGAATTTCAGAATTGACTATAGGGAGATACAAAATGTAAATGAGCTTTGCCTGGAGGATTCCAGGCCGTGGGGTTTTCTGGAGAGCATGATAGGAAGTTGAACTAGCTACGGTTTCATCCCAAATAAATTAACCTTGCATCAAGGGCCAAACTTCTTATTAACGCCATAAAGCGCCCCCAGATGTTTCTGCAACTCAGCCACTTCCAAAGTATGATTTTACTCAAGAAAAAAAAAAAACAAGTACTATAACATTCCCATTTAGCCAAGCATGGCTAATCTAATTAGCAGGTTCTTCAACACCGCTCTTTTTAGATTGACAACTTTCTTTCCAAAATTGAGAAAAAGAACAATTATTTGAGCATCCAGACCCTGCAGTGCTTCCGCATTCAACACATTGCATTGGCCTTTGAAACCCTCACCTCCACTTAGGGACAATTTTAGTTAGTCCATGGCTGTGGCCTGTTACAAACTGGGCTGCACAGCAGAAGGTGAGTGGTAAGTGAGTGAGTGAAGCTTCATCTGTATTTACAGCCGCTCCCCATTGCTCACATTATTGCCTGAGTTCCACCTCCCGTCACATCAGCAGCAGCATTAGATTCTCGTAGGAGCATGAACTCTATTGAGAACTGTGCATGTGAGAGATCTAGTTTGCATGCACCTCATGAGAATCTAATGCCTGATGATCTGTCACTGTCTCCCATCACCCCCAGATGGGACCATCTGGTCACAAGAGAACAAGCTCAGGGCTCCCACTGATTCACTGATACTACATTATGGTGAGTTTATAAGTATTTCATTCTATATTACAGGGTAACAATAATAGAATAAAGTGCACAATAAATGTAATGTGCTTGAATCATCCTGAGACAATCCCCCTCACCCCAAGTCCGTGGAAAAATTGTCTTCCATGAAACCAGTCCCTGGTGTCAAAAAGGTTGGGGACTGATGCCTTAGATGGCTCAGTATCAGTCATAGCTTCTATCTCATCCAGAAGATTGCAGGGAAGATGCAAATCCAGGTATCTTCAGCAGGATAGCTGGTAGGTACCTGAAGGGGAAGGGCTGCTGCTGCTTCCCTGACTTTCAAAGTTTGGAGTTATAGCTTTAATTTCTAGACAGGCCTAGACAGTTGCTACAGCCACTCACCGATGCAGGTGTCACTACATAGGACTGGAATTATGCCAAGAGGCAGGAATACTCCATACACAGGGCCAAAAGAGGCCAGGGAGAGGGCTACATGGGGCAGGAAGTGGGGAAAGGCAGCCAAATCTTAGCTCACACTAGACATTGAAAAGTCCAGACTGCAAAGTCTGCTGGACATGAAGGCTCTAGCATAGGCTGTGCTTCTGTGCAAGACAGAGCCTGGAGGTGGTAAGAACTTTTCATCGGTTGAATTTCATACCATCACATGCATGACAACTACTTGTCTGTATCCCCTGCTAAAATATATCAAGGGCCGGGAATGAATCCATTTGCTTCACCAGCATATCCTAAATAAATAGGATAGTACCCACTGAATGGTAGGTGCACAAAATAGTTTTTGAACATTAGATGTCAAACAACCCTTGACTTGGTGTGTCTTCCGGACAATGTTCATTCATTCTACAAGTATGCATTAAGTTGCCTTCTGTGTGCCAGGGCCAGCACCAATGGGTAAGGCTCAATAACATGTGGATTCTAATGAGGCAGGCCAGACTCTGTCTTCAAGATTTCACTGCAGATCAAATTGTCCAGGCTTTATGTTAGTGGGCTCAGCTTTAAGATGCAGAGAGGGAGAGGGAGGAGATAGCCTTCAGTTCATGGGCAGGGAAGGTGGTAACACATGGGGGAAGGAAGATATAGGGGCTGTGCACCCAGGGGAGCAGCACAGTCCTAGAACAGCCTCTCCCCACTCCTTGCTTTGATTTTCTTCCTGGATCTGCATGTGGAAAGACAGTGGTCGACAGGTGTGCTGGTTCTTCGGCGAGGTGGGGCTTCACAGGTGTTTCAATTTCTTGATTGCCACTCCAGCAGAGAGCTGGGCCCTTGAGAAGTTCTTGCAGCCCTGACAGTTGAGTCCTTCTGGTTACTGGCAAGGAGACCGCTGTTCCTTTGTTGTCCTTGGCCCCACATGTTAAAGCCCCCATCAGAGAGGACCACACCAACCCTGGCACAGGAAGGCTTTGGTTTACTCTCATGTCATCATTTATTACTTAGTGGCCTTAGGAGAACCTCCGAATCTCTTCTCTGAGGCTCCTTTCTTCATCTATCCAATGGGGAGGTGATTTCTGCTCTTCCTTGCTTCCAAAGCTTCTTAAGGACAAAAAGACACATGGAGATCTAGATAAAAATAAGATATAACATGATAGGTAAGGGAGAGAATTATGTGCATAAAATCATTTTCTTCTCAATTTTCTTCTCAAAATGAACTTGGTGTTGAAAATGGCAAGTAACTATAATATATAAACTTGAAAGGATATAATTGATTCTTTTATATATTCATTCAGCAAATCATTAGGTACTTACTATGTATCTGTCCTGTAATTTCTTAAACAAGACCCCCTCCTTCTGATGCTTTATGAAGGTTTATTGTCACACATGTCATTTTTTCAAGTGAAGCTCTCAAGGGAATGGCCCAATTTGTATAAAATCACTTATCAGGAGTGACATAGATTGGGGATTTGCAACTTCACTAGTAAAATGGGTACCAAAGTGAGCAACCATCATTTCTTCTTTCTGCTCTATCAACTTAATCTTAAAACTATGAGGTTGCTACATATAGCTTCGAATGAAATAAAACATTTGATAAAAATATATATAACTGACCTTACAACAGCGGTTCTCAAAGTGTGGTCTCAGGACTGGCAGCATCAGTATCACCTGAGCCCTAGTTAGAAATGCAGATTCTCAGGCCACCCCAAACCTGCCAATTCAGATTCTGGGACTGGACCCAGCCACCCGGGTTTTCGTAAGTGTCCTAGGGGGTTCTGCCACAACACTGCTGCAAAGCTTGCTGAAGCTGCTGGGATGCATCGGAAGCAAACAGGGAAGAGGAGGCAAGGAGAAAACCTCTTAGTGTGAAGCCGATTATCTCAAGACAGATGAAACAGGTTTCATTTCTTGTCCTATAACTAGGAAAGCTTTCATAATTACTTAGAAGTATTTTACACACCACCTCAGATAAAATACTTTTGATTGTCAAAAGACTATATGGCCATTATATTTTCTGTCTCCTAAAATTAATGTGGTACCAAACATTCTGATAATGCCTGACTGAGAGGGGAAAGAAGTAACTATTTGAAAACTAAAATTTCTTTCTTTGCATCTCTCCTTAAGTCAGAGATGGTCCAAAGCATTTTCATCTGAAGTTTCATATTAATTCTTTTAATGAGGAAACAGAAAGTACAGGAAATGATTTTTAAAATAGAAACTTCGTTACTTCCAAGTTCTTTATTCAAAAGTAACCTGTGTTTGATGGTATTCTGATTTTTATTGTTTTGTAAGTATTGTGAGTAATCATCTCGAATAATAAACTTGTTAGCTGTGGAAACACATAATAAATAGAATGTCCTAAATTCTTAAGTACAAATTTCAATAATGAACAACCCCCACAAACCCCTATCAAAGCCAAAAATCAAGATAAGTTATCTAAAATGTTTGCACTTTAAATACAAAAACACCACACAGACCTTTTTAAATGAAATTCTCTCCCTTTGCAATAGCCTACATGGCCAAGAAATCACACCCAGAAGTACTGCTCAGTATCCATCGTGCTGGATACAGATCCCAGGGTCCAGAAGTCAGAATGTGCTCAGGCACTGCTACTTGGTTTGATCAGAACTTCTTAAAACATTCATCCTAATGCTGTTCTGAGGTCCTCATGTTGTTTTATTTATTTGTTAGAGCAACTTTTCATTATTTTATATATATCATGGGACAACTTTTCATTATTTTATATGTTATTTTATATATATCATGATCCATTAATATGCCTCTTACCCTATTATGTTCACATTTAAGAACACAGAGGTCCTCAAGTTGCTTTATTTATTTTTTTATTGGAAACTTCTAGAGGGATAACTTTTCATTATTTATATATATCATGATTCATTAACATGGCTCTTACCCTACTGTGTTCACATTTAAGAACAAAGCACTAAATAGATGCACAGGCAAAATCAACAGGTGCCAGTATCTCTGATTCAACAGGTGTTATTGTGAAAATAATGATGGCTACAAATTAAACATCTGGTGCTATGCCAGCTTTTTTTTCTTCCTTCATGTGAATATAAACAGATCTGTGCTATGTATAGATTCACATCTAATCAGATGAGGCCTATGTAAAACTGTCCTGATCATCTATAAACATTTATTCACAATCTTGGATTATAATAACTTTTTCACTTCACCTTTCCTAATCCCCATTCACCATTTCTTTATCATATCAATCTATCTTGAAAATGATGGCCCAGAAGGCTGAAGAGTGAACATTTTAGCATATTTGAATGCTAATTTAGCTAAATTAATACTGACCAGTAGTTCTAATATGCAGTTCCATTAGTTTGCTCTTGCTGAAGAAGGATTCTATAAAATAGAATAGGTCCTGAAATACAATTTTGTTTTCAATGCCATTCACCAAATTTTTATTTCTCATGTACTATAGGTAATATCATATTTCCTTCTGTCTCTATTAACATTGTAGCTAATGATTCGTTGCCGGGGATAGTTGAAGGGTCAGTTAATTTAGTCCTCTGGATTTCATTGAGAAATTAATAGAGAACTGTAGGACTTAACTGAGAAAATTAATATAAGGGATTCTTTTCATATGGCATCTGAGAAATGAAAGCTGGCTGTCAACTTGGGTCTTCTGTCAGTTAGCACTTTCTGTCTCATGTAAACCAGTATGAGATTGTAAACTATCCTAAGAATTTTATGTGTCTTCTTACTTATGAGGAAAAAAAAAAGATAATACTATGCACTAGGTTGACCAGTTGCTTCTTTCAATTGACTGAAATAATCAGGTGTTCTGAAATCACATTATCTGATTTATCTAGAAATACAGTCAACTTGGTCTTAGAAACTACAGACAACCAGTAGACCTAGAAAAGTAATCTCATAAAGCTTGCTTAAAACAATATAAGTATCTGATAAATTTCACATACAAAAGAAATAAATATGCCTTAGTACAACAATTCAATTATGAGAATATAAAGTTGTGAAAATATTACAATAATCTGACTGTCAAATGTGGATTAGTGAAATAAAATATAGTCAGCCATAAAATGAAATACTAAATACATCCACCTTAATTGTCATACCATAGATGACATGGAAAGAGATCTGTACTATATTTAAGTTAAAAAACGGACTATACTGCCATATTTCAATATGACTCAATATTTCATTAAAACATATATGTGGTGTGTTTATACATGATCTCCAAAAGGTTAGAAGAGGTCATTAAATTTATTTAGGTCATATTTCGTTTACTTCTCTTGTCTTTTTTTTTCCCCCCCTTGGAGAGTGAGTTTCACTCTGGCACCCAGGCTGGAGTTCAGTACATAACCATAGCTCACTGCATCCTCAAACTGCTGGGCTCAAGCCATTCTCCCACCTCAGCCTCCCCAGTAGTTGGGAGAACTATGAGTCTACAAGTGTGTGCCACCATAACGTGCCTGGCTAATTTTTCTTTTTCTTTTTCTTCTTTTTTCTTTTTCTTTCTTCTACTTTTTTTTTTTTTTTCTTTTTGAGACAGGGTCTCACTTTGTTGCCCAGGCTGGTCTCAAACTCTGATGCTCAACTGATCTTCCCATCTCGGCCTTCCAATGTGCTTGGATTGCATACATGAGCCACCGCACCTGGCCTTTATTTTCTTTTTAATCATTTTATTGTTTTAATTATTTCTTCACTGATTATGTATCACTATATAATAATAATAAAGCAATACAAATCATTTGAATACATAGTTCAAAAAATATATATTTTTTCCTCCTGAGTAGCTGGAACCATAGGCACTTGCCATGCGCCAACACGCCTCATGTTTTTTTGCGTTTTTTTTGTTTTTGTTTTTGTTTTTGTTTGGTAGAGATTGGGTTTCTGTATGTTGCCCAGGCTGGTCTTAAACTGCTGGGCTCATGGGATCCTCTCACCTCAGCATCCCAAAGTGCTGGGATTACAGGCACGAGCCACTGTCTCCAGCTAGTTTCATATTTTTAATGAGGTACATTTCTTGGGACATGGTTGTAGAAAAGTCCAGAATTTTTCACAAAGCCAAAGAAAATATCCCTAAGAGTTGTCTTTAAGTGAATCTGTTGTTTCTCACGAAGCAAGCTTCATGCGTAACTCCCCATTATTTGGCAAAGTTTGCTGTATGTTGTTCTTATAATGTTTGCTGCTCCTCTCTCGGCATTAAAGATTATTGTAGTTTTTAGGGTGCTTTACCCATTGCTTCTTGCCCTTCTTTAATGGGATGTCAGCATTTCTGGCTATGGAATTGTAACTGTTGCATAAGTGAAAGGTAGTCCTGAATTTGCGGACGGCATTAATTCCTAAATGTTTGTTACTAAACTGGTGATTTCCATCTCAGAATGCATTTTCCCATAAAAACCATTATCCACTGTCACTGTGTTCCACAACATGTGACCCATATATACTTGGAGACTATCATTGTTGTAATGGGGAAAGACCAATGGAAGCTTAGCCAGCATATGTAATGGGTGTTCAGTGGATTCCCTTGGGCAGCTAGATATGAGATACTCCTCTGGCACTTTTCCTTCCCCACTTTTCTCCCCCTGTTTATAATAAACACTTCGGAGAGTGGCCTCCTGGTCCCTGGCAGCAACTTCACCAATCAGGGCAGGGCAGGGGCTAGGGAAGGAACAATAAGAACGAGAGTGGGAGAATGTCCATAGAGGTGAACCATCCAAGCAAAGAGCAGGGCTCTGAGGGTCAAAGCGAAGCTCTTATGGCTGAGCCTCAAGGGGCATGTCTTGATTATGGAACAAAAGCTAGGAGTCTGATTCCTAACTCAGCCGCTCAGCAGCTGGGTGACCAGATGCCTTAGCTTCCTGGGGCCCACCATAAAGTGAACTGCAGCCGCCCAGCTGTCTTTCTCTTGCTCTCTCAACTTGAACTTGGCACACAGCTAACTTTTGATTTTCTTAGGATTATCACTGTTCACAAAACAAGAAAGACGACAACAACAATAATAATGCCCAATTATATTTACCTACAGTTCTGTAGATTAGATTACAAGATATTTTATAGTCATAAACTCATTTGTCCTAGAAACTCACAGGAATTATGTAAATTTCCTGATTTTTCTTATCAATTTTAAGAACAACAGCATCACAGAAGTATATAAACTGTAAAATTTACTACAGGTGTTTGTGTCTTCAATAATCTATTTCCATTGCAAACCACCTTCAGACTTTTGTTGGCATTTTATCCGAGGACATGGGGTTCTGCGGAGCAGACTGGAGTGGAGGAGAAAAAAAAAAAAGCATCACTGATGCTTCCGTGATGCCTCCGGGGCTGGAAGTGAGAAGAAAGATGAAAGAGACGGAGAACAGGGAGCATTCCTAGAGTTAAGCCTCCTCCTTTCTATGGGGCAGACTTCTCAGAATCAAAGGTCCAATGGAAAGAACAAAAGAAGAAGGAAGGTAGAAAGAAGATCTTTTTACCACCTATATTCAGGTGACCTTTTCGTATATAAAGGAATATGCAAATTGCATGTATAAGAGAGAGTGTTTGCAGTGCTAAACCACGGCAGGGCAGCTTGCACTCTACATTGCAAACGTCTCCCTGCGGTTGGTCAGAAGTACTTGCCCACTTCACCACTTCATAGAGTCCTACTACAGCTTAGCCACTGACTCTAGACACTGCTGTGTATCCAAGCTGCTCGTCTCTCATTAATGATGTAGAAAATATGTTGACTGCAATCACACACTTGCTCTTATCATGTAGTGATACCATTTATTACGGTAATACTCCCAGCACTTAAATAATCGGGGTCAATCTTCATTTTTTCTAAGAAATGGAACTCCAAACCATGTATGTGTGCATGTGGCCATAGATTCATGGGCACACGTGGAATGCGAATGTGCTCCGGAAGGTTCAATTAAGACAATTGGTGTATTTGTTTAAGGCATACAACAAAGATGGAAAACAAAATGAGAAAAGCAGGTTGAAAAGCTGCCTCAAATTTCTACCTCTTCGTTCTTCCTTGTACTTAGAGTAAATATTGAGCGCACCACTTTGGTTACATCTAAAATATGGGAAAGCAAAAAGAACCAAAATTCATCTGAGTTATCCTAGACCAGTTTCTCAAAGTGTAGGTAGAAGTTCACACCTATAATCCCAGCATTTTGGGAGACCGAGATGAGTGAATCACTTGAGATCAGGAGTTCAAGACCAGCTGAGCCAACATGGGGAAACCCCATCTCTACTTAAAAATGCAAAAATATTAGCTGGTGCCACCTGTAGTCCCAGCTACTCGGGAGACTGAAGCAGGAGACTCGCTTAAACCCGGGAGGTGGAGGTTGCAGTGAGTGGAGATTGCGCCTCTGCACCTCCAGCCTGGGTGACAGAGGGAAACGCCGTCTCAAAAAAAAAAAAAAAAAAAAAAAAACAAGAATGGACTACAATGCTTGCAAATAATACCTGGGCCCCACCTCAAATCTTCTGGGTCAGAATCTCTCTCAGGGTGGTTCCCAAAATCCATATTACTAACAAACACCCTGAGGAAATGTAATGTGTACCAAAAATTGAGAAACACTTAATGTGTATCAAAAATTTACAGTAGAAACATCCAGTCCTCTATTATTAATTGTACCGATTTGTCTTGTTTATATTGTGTGAAATTTTGGTTGACTATTCCAAGCATTATAATAGATACTTTTGTGCTTATATTTTTTTCTCAAAATCCAACATGTGGAAAGGTGTATTTTTTGGAAACCTATAATGTAACTTCCTTACTTTTTACTTTTTTAGTTATTAGTCATTGCAAATATGTAGAAATCTATTAATAAGAATATGGTGTTAAATACTTCTATACCAATCTAGTTGAATTTCTATATATTAAGTTATATTTTCTCACTAAGTTAAATAAAAAAACAAAATTCTTGGGTGCATTAATGCCCTCAACACTATTGAGTAGGACTTAAAATTTAATGAGTCAACATAATGCATGCATATTACATGTGTTGTATAATATGAACCTAAACCATCTTATTTAGAATTCTCTAATGACAATCTTTAATCCTTTAAAGTTTATTAAGAGGCCATCCAGTTAGACACATATATGAAAATACAGTTGATATCATATATATTCACAAACAATGGAATATTCTTCAGCCTTTAAAAATAAGGAAATCCTGCCATTTACGACAACATGAATGAACCTGCAAGACATTTTGCTAAATGAAATAAGCCAGACACAGAAAGATAAATACCGCATGATGTCACTTCTATGCAAAACCTAAAAAGTCAAACTCATAGAAACAGAGAGTAGAATGGTTGTTACCAGCAGCCGGTGGGAGGAAGAAGTGGAGCGGTCTTGGGCAAAGGTTACAAACGTTAACTTATATGATGAATAGGTTCTGGAGAACTAATACATAACAGAATGACTATAGCTAATAGCACTGTATACTTGAATTTATACTTGAATTTGTATACAATGTTATTCAAGTATACTTCATTGAATACTTGAAATTTGCTAAGAGAATTGATCTTCAGTGTTCTCACCACACCAAAAAAATAAAAAAATAAAAAAAGTAACTACATGAGGTGATGGATATGTTAACTAGCTTGCTTGGTTGTGGTAATTATTTCACGATGTTTACATCTATCAAGCACTGTGTTGTACACCTTCACAATATGTAATTTTTATTTGTCAATTATACATCAATATAGCTGGAAAAAAAAGAAAATATAGCTGAGTTTAAGTATACTTATTCATAGTTGAGGATATATATTTTCCTACTTTGTGAATAAGGAAAAGGAGATAATCAGGAAGGAAGAGAAGGAAAAGAGAAAGAGACAAACCCCTAGGGAGAGAGGGTCCAGTTTGGAGATTTTTTTTTTTTTTTTTTCTTTTTGAGCCAGGTCTCGATTAGTCGCCCAGGCTGGAGTGCAGTGGTACCATCATAGCTCACTACAGCCTCAATCTCCCAGGCTCCAGCTATCCTTCCACCTCAGCCTCCTGAGTAGCTGGGACCACACGTGTGTGCCACACAGTTTGGAGATCTTGATGCCCAGTCATTACTCAAGCACCAAAAGCCTGAGTTGCCCAGAGTTTACTGCCTCAAAATTTCCCACTGGCCTTATGAAAACCTGACATCAGTCACATCCATACAGCTTCAAACCTGGCACCTCATAGACTCCCAATTGTATTCTCCTCTGTTTCCCTGAACACATGGCTCCCAAAACATGTCTTTTTAAAGTTATTTTAATGATCACCTAGGATATTAATTTTAAGTGATTTTAATGATTGCCCAGGATTTTTTGCTGACCTGGAGTTGGCTTATTTAATTTTAAGTGATTTTAATGATCACCTAGGATTTTATGGTGACCTGGAGTTGGCTTATTTGCTCCCTGTCATATCTAGAAGAGCACAGCCCAATGTCTCCTGTCTACATTCCTTTTTTTTTTTTTTTTTTTTTTTTTTTTTTTGAGACAGAGTCTCATTCTCTCACCCAGGCTAGAGTGCAATGGCACGACTTTGGCTCACTGCAACCTCCACCTCCCTGGTTCAACTGATTCTCCTGCCTCAGCCTCTCAAGTAGCTGGGATTACAGGCACGTGCCACCACACCCAGCTAATTTTTTGTATTTTTAGTAGAGATAGAGTTTCACCATGTTAGCCAGGATGGTCTCGATCTCCTGACCTCATGATCCGCCCACCTCGGCCTACCAAAGTGCTGGGATTACAGGCATGAGCCACCGTACCTGGCCTCTTCGTTGTCTCTTTAATCATCATTTCTTCAGGGTTCACTAAGTTCCTCAGTCAGGTACAAAGCTGGAGTCATCCTGATTGTCTGCTAGTTAACAATTTGGGCAGAGAAGATATGTTAGTGCCTGATGCAACATTTTGAAGGGCAAATTCATTTAGCATAAAAGAAAACTAAAGCCAGAGGTTGGGTAAAACAAAAAAAAACCAAAATGTAACACAAAAAATAATATTTCTTGATTTATTTCTTGAGCGTTTGCTACCTATTAGGCCCTATAACGTTCCTTCTATGCGTTATTATTATAAATTTTCATCATAACCTGGTTAGCTAGATATCATCACCCCAATATTAAAGATCACACAAGATGTGGAGGAAAAAGTGTCCACATTGACGAAGCTGGTAAGTGGAAAATCTGGGATTCAAAACCATATCCATTTGTCACAAAAGGCTTTAAACTTTCCTCACCTGGTTCTCTTTTTTTTTTTTTTTTTTTTTTTGAGACAGAGTCTTGCTCTGTCAGCCAGGCTGGAGCGCAGTGGCGTGATCTCGGCTCACTGCAACCTCTGTCTCCTGGGCTCAAGCAATTCTTGTGCCTCAGCCTCCTGAGTAGCTGGGATTATAGGCGTAGGCCACCACACCCTGCTAATTTTTGTATTTTTAGTAGAGACGGGGGTTTCACCATGTCGGCCAGACTGGTCTCGAACTCCTGACTTCAGATAATCCACCTGCCTTGGCCTCCCAAAGTGCTGGGATTACAGGTATGAGCCACTGCGCTGGCCTCACTATATTTTTTTTCCAAAAATATTTAGCACTTAAAGTCATTCCAGTTGTTATTTTGCTTTATAAACAGCCTAAAATCTTTGCCAAAACTTGGCCACCTCTAAGTTGCTTGAGGCTCATTTCAACTGCCTTATCTGCTCACCTGCTGTTATGGCTTCTCCACAGTATCTTCTTCTTTTCTTCTTTTCTACTATGTTGTTGTTGTTGTTTGAAATGGCCTCTCGCTCTGTCATTCAGGTTGGAATGCAGTGGCACAATCTCTGCTCACTGCAACCTCCACCTTTCCATGATCAAGCGATTCCCCTGCCTCAGCTGGGATTATAGGCATGCACCACCACGCCCGGCTACTTTTCGTATTTTGAGTGGAGATCAGGCTTCAGCATGTTGGCCAGGCTGCTGTTGAACTCCTGACCTCAGATGAGCCACCTTCCTCAGCCTCCCAAAGTGCTGGGATTACAAGCATGAGCCACCACGCCTGGTCTTTTCTATTATCTTCTTTTAATTATTTCTTCAAATTTATATTGAGCCCCTATCATATGTCACACTCTATCCTTAAAGTGGTCTTTGGTTCACTCAGCTTATGAATACATATTTTTGTGGAAGTTTCTTAGTCCATCTGCTACATTTTTCAAAAGTATAGACGACTATAACTGCTAAATAACTGTTCTTGCAAACTGTGGACCACAGTCCGCTTATTAAGGATATCAGTTTTATGGTTTGCAACTAGCATTTATTTTTAAAGTGAAATAGGATACAATAGAAAATACATGTGTATTGCAGATAGTAGAGTTAGCATTACTTGGAAACTTGTTTCAACACTCATTTGCATTTGTGTTGCAGTGTAAAATGTATTTATTACTCAGGGTCTCAGCCAACATCATTTGAAAAACACTTCCTTGTACTAAAGGCTTGTAATGTGGAAAATATGTCTTGTTTTTCTATCTTCAATTGACCACATTGCTGTCACTCAATTGGGTGGGTTATTACCTCTAATTTTAAGAGAAAGTTCCCTGCTTATTGATTCTGAATACCGACTTTAAGAATTGCAAATGATGTTCTGATGTTCTTAATGTGATTGTCTTTTCCTCCATTTATCAATGCATCAGACAGTGGGCTGCCTGGATAGCAAAATTCAGTGACTTTCTGTAAAGGAAAAAAAAAAATCTTTCATTAGTAATGCACTCATTTATTCTTTGCCAAAACACTTTTCATCATGTAGACATGGTCTTAGCACCTTGAATGTTAATTATCCACTTCGATGGTACTAGATATTCCTGTGGGGAAAATATATTTGATGAGTCAGGCTAGGGAAAAAGTTCTGAAACATACCTTTACAGTATGATTTGTACAAGGCCAAATTTGAAAGGTCACATGGTATAGGAGACCCAAGGTAAAACCCAAGATTTGTTGCTCCATCTTACAATTGTACCCAAGTTTCTTTTTTTTTTCTTTGAGACAGGGTCTCACTTTGTTGCCCAGACTCAAGTACGGTGCTGTGATCTTGGCTCACTGCAGTCTTGACCTCCTGGGCTCAGGTGATCCTCCCACTTTAGCCTCCCAAGTAGCTGAGACTACAGGCATATGCCAACAGCCCTGCTAATTTTTATAATTTTTTGTAGAGATGAGTTTTCACCATGTTACGCAGACTGATCTCCAACTCCTGGGCTCAAGCAATCGGCTGGCCTCAGACTCCCAAAGTGCTGGGATTACAATCATGAACCACTTGTCTGGCCTATACCCAAGTTGCATGAGTCTGGACCTATAGTTAGTTAAATTATTTGTGAAATGAATTTCTGAATTATAACACATCATATTTTGGTGATCCAGAAACAAGAATATGATGTAAAATATAGAAAATGCACCCATCTTCCACAATGTATATCCAAGGGATTTTATTGTCAAGCTCATATGTATGTCAAGTAGAGCGGCTTTGAAGAAAAACTCTGAGTTGGTTGGAGTGGAGGGTAGGATGGGAGAGAATTTGATAAACAATGAAGGAAACCACAGTTTCAATAGAAAATCAGTGCTAGAAATTGAGCCATCACCACTCCCCAAGTGAGACAGAGTGTTAAAGATTAGATAAAGGATAAGAATTCACATCTCCTCTGGATGATGAGCCAATACCCTCAGTGCTAGACAGATTAAAAATAAACTTTGTTTTTGCCTGTGTTTAGTCACAAATCATTTTGGCCCAGAATGGAGTCAAACGGTGTGGGTAGAAAAAAATTGCCAAATATTCGATTCATGTAGAACTACGTGCCTTCTGCAGAAAGAAACTGGAGTTGCTTGGGTTGGTTATTACTCAATGTTTTCTTTTGCCTTTCCTTTCTTTCTGTTGTAAAAAATCTCTGCAAGACCCAATCTAGAAGTGCCCGTGGATTCTAAATTGTAGGATTTGAACTGTGATTGGAACAAGAAACCTGACTTTTGAGTTGCATTAATGGAGTCCTCACTAGTATTTTGACTACCTGCACCACCAAATTTGGAATTAAGAGCGTGATCAGATTGATGAAAGAATTGCTACAGAAAGTGCAATGAACAGCTCTGAAATCTTGCAGGATTACAGGCTCTCAGTGACCTATTTTGAGTGCAAAATTTTAAGGTTGTAAATATTATTAAAACCCCTAGAAATGTCCAAGCTGGTGCTTCCTCCACCTACTCTCACACAATGATTGAAGCACAAGGAGAGATGGCAGGAGGCCAACACAGGAAAACCTCCTACATCCCAGGGACACGAGTCCCTCTGTGTTCCCACAGCACCTTATCCAAAGGACTGACATATTTGTTACACACACTATCCCCTATCCCATCCTCAGTGAATAAGATAGACCTGGAACAGAATAAACATGTATCAGTATCAATTAAAATTTTTCTTTACCAAGACATTTTGGTTTATGACTTTATGACTCAGTGAATAAGTCATCTTCTTCATGGTGACTATAAAGGAACCTCTTGTTATAATTTACTGTTCTTTTGCCTAGCCACCTGATCTCACTGAATTCCAAATACTAGCATGAAGAAAACCTGATCACCTAAATCTCCAAGACATTATAAAACAGGCGTTGTATATGTATGTGTATGTGTGTGTAGATATATATATACACATGGGAGAATAAACTAAAAGGCTAATTCTGTCACTAAAATGTATCTTGCTTTAAGAAAAATATTCTTCCTTCATCGAAGTCCTACTAATGAGTTTCTGCCTTTGAGTACAGACATTGCCAACATTGGAAAAAACATCCAGCCATTTACTTAAAGTCATGACCTCTGGCTCCTCAGGACCATGTGACCACCATGTAACATAAGCGCTCCAAAATACATCTCAGATTCTCAACAAAATGTAGTCTTGCAGTTACAACACACCAGGTGAACAGCCCCTGACTGTTGAGGGAGCCCTCCCTGACTCACTTTGGCCTCTGATGAGTTAATATGTGCAAAAGGATTGTACGTGTTTAGGTAATTTACTTATTAAAAACATTAAAAGTTTTTGGTTTTTAGAAATTTAAAGAAAAAGACACTCCTTGAGTGACTCCTGACCCTAGCTTATCAGATGAAGGGTGCCCTGCTGTCAAGGCCTCATCACTGACCATGTAAAGAAGGCCACATTTTAGAGGTGTTTACAACAGTATAAGGTTCACGCTGTCCATTTGTGTCAACACTAGGCAATGCAGATCAACTAGCCCGACTAGTGGGGTCAGGCACAAAAAGAAAAGCAACGTAGATAAATCCTGATCTAATTAAGGGTCACAGCTCTTTTTTTTCCACAACGTTTTACATCAAAAGGAGCAAATAAAACTGGAGAAAGCAATCTTCCCTTGTACATTTCCCTACCTGGTAATCCACATTTCAGAGGCAATTGCTTTAAATATTTAAAGTACTGCAGAGGTGTCAGCTAGATGGCCTGAATTCCATGGGTCCCTGGAAAAGTTGGCCACTACTTTTTGCTAAATTAGCTATTTTCTTTTTTTTTTTTTTTTAGATACTATGTTTTAGGAGAGAAGACTATCACTTTGTTCCAGTGAAAAGCTTAAGCAAGTTGCTGGACTAGATTTGTGGAGTATGCAGGCATTCATATAGTACCTCACAGTGTGTGTGTGGTGGGGGGGAGGGCAGGTGTGCGTGTGTGTGTACGTCGGTGCATGCCATGTGCACCTTCGTTTTATCTAAATTGCAGGCAATAGCAATACAATATCCCCATACAATTGCTCTCTGTCTGGAGTCACTGTGTCTGGGTTTAACTTAGAGTTAAGGGAAAACAAGTTCTTCAGGTCACTTTAAAAATCAGCATATCTGAAATGCATTTGAATATTTTGGTTGATCAAGAGGGATGGTTTTGTCACTGAAATATCTGATGTCTTATCTCATACTTTTTTAATCCAGTGCTTTATAAGAGGATCTGAGAGCATCTGTGTGAATGTTGCATGCCTGAATACCTGGAAAACACCTGATTTGTGGGAGTCAATTCTCTTTTCTTTACTAGTTTGTTTTTTAAAACACATCTCTAGCTAAGGAGATCTTCTGTGTAAATGGTATTATCTTGGAGTAACGTCTTTAGCCTGATGTACCACTAAATTCCACATGTCTACCCTAAATCAGAATCTGCAATCTCAATTTTAATTTTTGTTCATTTTGCACTCTTACGAGGGTGAACTCAAAAGTAAATGATATAGCATTACAAGTTTAATTCTATGTACATTTATAGGATAGAAAATGCACTCCCATTATACTCAGAAGCCTAACTTAAAAATTGGCTTCTTTATCTAAATCTTCTCAAGAAGCTTCCATCCCCCATTTAGCTCCCCCATGTATGGGAAGAGAAAAAAAAGTTACTCCCTGCTCCTCCCCAAGATGGTGCCTGTGTATGAAGAAGCTTGCTGTGTCTTTGGGCAGCAAGAAGACAGGGGATCAGAGTCACAGGGGACTCTGGACACATTTGGTATCTAATGGTCTGGCTGGTACCCGCAGAGGCAGGAGGTCCTGTCTCACCTGCTGACATGTCAGGCTTCTAGTCTTGGAGGTCCCAGCTGCCACTGCATCTTGACTCTCATGCTGGCCCTCTGCTAGTATACAGCCTCAACCCAACACACCTCATCATGAAGGACTGTGGGAACCGCTGAGATCCTGTGCTGAGCGCAGAAGTAGTGCAGCCTCAAGCACATCCATCAGGCCCAGATGCCATCGTGTGGCTGCAGCACCAACGGGGCCTGTCATAGTGGTTTCCCAGACTGTACCATGGGA